ACACAACGAGACAAGCATATAACTTCAATGAGTTTCTCTTCCAAACATGTAACTTCAATGAGTTTCTCTTGCATAGTTCATATTACTGATGGTATTATTTTAAAGTGAACATTTCATGTGAAGCTTACCTTGAATACAATTTAAGCAATGTGGTAGAAAACACAACTTGAGTAGATTCTACTTCGGACAAGAAAGGACATGTCTCAATTGCTTTTTCATACACGAAAGGAGTCAATTCCTCAAGCATTCTCAATAGAACATCTATATTCCAACGCTCTATTTCACCCAATGCATGTAGATGTGACTCTATACACCCTTCCATTACAGAAAGAGGTGGACAATGCTGTAATGCAGATGAGAAATTCAACTCAGAAATAATTTCCAACAAGGATTAAGTTCTCAGTGACGAGGGACAGCTAAATGCAAATGGGAAAACAAAGACCTGAGCAGAACTCAAAATATGTGAGAATAAAACTCTCAAAACATGGTCTAATTTGTTTCCCCACTTTACAACTGCAATAACCAATTCCTTCAGAGTAGTTTCGACCACCACTCCCGATCGATCACCCATCAATTGGAACATCAACTCCTCCACCTAACAACAAATAAAACAAAGCATGTATCTCTGTTCTTTTAATTTAAGTTGTCACATTATGTATGATAAGGGTAAAAGGCTCCATTTCTTATAGTACCATGATACACTTTTACATTTGACACATAGTAGAAGATAAAATAGTCATAAAAATGTAAATTTTTGTATTTTTTTGCAAGAAAGAAAAGAGTAAAAAGTAAATAAGGATAATATCAAATGAATATAAAAGATTTAAGCGTGTCAAAGAATCATTTTTCTTTCCTATACAGTCCCGTCAACCTGTTGCAGAGCTTACATTGCAGGCAATTCTTTAAAAAGTCAGAAATCTTCTCCATGAATGCCTCGAAGCATATATAGTGAGGCTGACCTGGAAATATTTATCCATGCCTTGAAAAAGTGGAAGCAGCATAGCCAAATTGTGAGCTGCAGCCTCTCGAACAATAATGGCACCATCTTCTATTAGTTGTTGCACAATAGACAAAATAAGGGAATCCCGAATCTCAGGCCGCACAAATTCTGCAAGCTCGCCACATGATTGAGCAACAAGCAGTCTACGTTCCTCGTACGTGTGATTTATCTAAAACCCACAATAGAAAAAAAAACCCTGAAAATCTAGTTTCTAGGTTAGAATGACAAATAAAGGTGAAAAATTATGGGAAGAACATACTTGTTCCCAACACTGAGGAAGCAATTCTGTTTCTGTTCTCATCTCTCCAACATTCTTTGCAAGGCTGACACATGCCTGAAATTTTGAAAGTTGCATTCAACCAAAATCTTTAAACTAACATAAGCAAACCAAATATAACGTACATCCATTATTATTCGTCTTTGTTGTTCATCAGGGCGCTTGATTAAGTTGAATAATGTATGGGTCAAAGAATCCCGAGTCCTGCTATCTGGGTGGTGCTCAATTGCACACATCATTAATGGAAGAAGTTCCTGCAACCAAACAGCATTAGTGCAACATATGTTGAAGATCGTGTAAGTGTAAATAAAGAAAAGTGAGTAGCCACCTCACGATGATTGATCAATACATAAGGAACAATTTTAGGCAAAGCATCTGCAAGTATCTGAATGGTTCTTAATCCCTGTCAAAGAAAAAACATTTGTAAGAAACATAAACAAAGAGAAATTAAATACTTTCAATTTGAAATCTCATCAGCTTAACTTTACTGAATCATTAATCCCCTTCATGTGTATGCTAAAGAATAAAGGTGTAATGGACTTGCCATCTTCTCTGATATTGCTTCATCATTTGCATTGTCTGTTTTTGCATTTATCTTGTTATCCTCTTCTTGCTTGCTAACATTTTGTTCAGGGATATTTTCAATATTTTCAAAAGCACTATTTGCATTTGCAGGATTGAACAATGCATATGGTTCATCTTCGTGTTTATCAGTATATTTGCTCATAGTTCGAGAAGTTGTTGATTGAGCATCTTCATTGCGTATGATATCCAGTGCTGCATCAATAGGGTAAGAAATTGCACCTTGGTCCTCATGAATCTCTATTTCTGTGTCTTCTATATGTAAAATTTCATTTTCATAGCCAACAAATTTTCCATGTTCAGGAATTCCTCTGTTTTGTTCCTTTAACCATTCAACTTCCATTTGCAACTTGTTCATTTCTTCCTTGTAATTATCTGAAGACGGAAGTTGAAATTTGTCAACATCACCAACAACCACATGATTTCCTGAACCAGATCGTTCGATATTCATTTTCAGCTTACTGATCTCAATTCTGCTAGCATGAAGATCTTTTCTTTGATTCTCCAAGGACTGCTTTAAAACTTGCACCTAAAAGTTAATATTAGTTTTCACGATATAAAAAACGAGTGAGTATTGTTGGACAATATCTCATACAAGTAAGCAAAAACTACCATGTTCTCTTTGTCTTTAAGATCTTTGTGCAATGCCTCCAAGGATTTTGTTAAGTCTGTAATCTGACCATATGCCATATCTTTATCCTTCAACAAGCTTTCATTTTCTTGTTTCAACCTCTCATTTGCTATCAAGAGTGTGTTACTTTCTTGACCTTGGGTAATGTTTTCCTGGATATTTACATGTGTAAGATTTAACATGAGACCATGAAAAATATCATATTTTAAGAATCATAAATATTAATATTTTATTTAAAATTTTTATTTATATTCACTTTTATTAATTAAATATAATATTTTATTGTTAGAAAGGTTGCAAAGTAAGGGTAAAAGAAAAAATAAGTAGGTGTCAAATGATAATTATCCCTTTAACATAAACAATAATGAGTTTTATAAGCAATATTACAGGACTCATTCAATTTTCACACTTACCATCATTTTCTAAGGGATAATGATATTTTCACAACATTTTTTTACAACATTTTAACATCATCTAAATGTCATTTTGTGATTGGTCCAAAATTACTCCATAATCAATAATCATAAACACCAACATGCATTAATCACAGAATGACACATAGATGGTGTTAAAATGTTGTCAAAGTATCATTATCCTTTTCTAAGATCCATTCAAAATTAGGTGAAGTTAATGAGTTGTTTAAAAATAATAAAGAAGTTTCCTTTGTTAAAAACAAATGAAACTTTTAAATTGAAAAGTAATGGTAAGATTAAGAAGCTAAGTGAATTTGTGAGAACAAATCAAATAACAAACAATGGGTTTAGCCATTAATCTACAGTTTAGATAGTGTTTGATAAGAAACTTGCCTACACCATGAGTTAAATAATCACCTCAGCAACCACTGGAGTTGATGAAAGATAATGGTAATAGTAATGACGCAAGGCGTGTGGTACTGATGCATTTGTGTTATTCCAGTTCTCCAAGTTCTGGTCTTTAACCTACAGGAGGAGTCAGAGTTTAACTTAATTGTCTTGCGTTGCAAATTAAACATTTTTACACTTTAATTAAATAATATTACAATGATTTGTTTTTTCATGCAAGAATTTTTCCTACTAATCTCATTGCATGGTTTAAAAGGGAAAAAGAGAGTGAAAAATGTTGAAAGAAGGACATTTTGTAAAAGTGTCAGCCAGCTAATTAGAAGATGACAGACATCAGCCCACTTTGTAATTTCGCAGAAACAAGATGACATCAACATCTAACTGTTTTTGTTTCGCTGATGAAACACTGAATTGGTTGTGACAATATATGACAACCCTTTTGGAACAAGAACTTATTCAAATGTGTAAATAAAAAATTCATCTACTGTAACTCTCAAAGATTGTGTTTTTAAGCCGGTAAAATAATGAATGAAAGCATAAAATTTGTTCTTTAAGGTTTTGTATGGAATGGGTTGAAGTGAAAAAATGATTAGAGGTGAAAGAAGAAGAAGAATGAATAGAGTTGGTGAGGGTGGAACCTCTTCGTAGAATGTCATTGCAGTGAGACGGTAGCCAGCAAAAAGCAAATATTCCTTCACAGCACAGTTAAGATCTCGACGCTCAGTGTCGGTGAGAGGTCCCATGGCGTTTCCATTCGGTTCCCGATTCTGTCCCTCCCAAGCATCTCCGTTTGACAGGGGAGCTGCGGGGAGAAACGCAAGAGTGAGTGAGTGATTGAAGAGACAGGAAAATGCAGAGTGTGATGGAAGAGGGAAGGAGAACCGTATAGCTGATTGAGGCGTTGGGTGTGGGAGTGCAGTTGAGATTTGAGTTTGGCAATGTCTTCGTTGGCCAAACGGAGTTCGTAATCGGTGATGGCCAGCTTGTGTTCGGATTGGTTTTTGAGGTGGAGGAGGGTTTGGGGATCGGCCGTGGGGAGGGAGTTGAGGCGGGAGATGTCGTTGGGAGGGAAGCGGGAGGGGTCGGCGAAGTAGTTCTGGAGGCGAATGGCCTGGTCGTGGCGGCCATCGTCGAGTAGCTCGTGGAGGAGCTCGAAGGCGGTGAGGAGGTAGTTCTCTTCCAGGAGAAAGTTCACGACGCAGTTGAACAGCGACGAACGCTCCACCTCCATCATTCTCTCACACCCTTCTCTCCATTCCCATACTTTTATTTCTTTCAACTGGATTTCCATGCTTTTCGCTTCTTCTCCCTCTCTTTTACACCATCCGTCCACCATTTTTCTATTTTTGATTTTCATGCAACTCCTCACCATCCAATCATCTCAACTTTCTCAATCAAACACTTCCATCTTTATCCCAATTCTTCTAAATAATCTCTCATAATTAATATTCTCTTTTATCAAGAAAAAAAAAACAGTGGCTCACATGATTTCCGTCTTTGCAATATGCGAAACGAAGCAGACAAAGAATGAAAGTGATATTTTAATTGATTGGTCTAATGGAATAAAATAAATCTGAGAACAACTTAACGATATATTTTGATGAAGAGGAGGAATAACAGTGGTACTGTCCAATGGCAACCAGTCATGTGGACCTCCACCCTCTTTTTGTACGTTTTCAACCCTTTGAGCTTATTTACAATTCTCAGCCACAAAACTTCTCTCTCTTGACATGTTTCGTTTCTGAGCTAACACTTCTCAAACAACACACTCGTTTCAGGTATGGCATTTCAAGCCTTTCTGCTGTTTTTTTGTGTATCACTGCTTATTTTGTGGTTTGGCTAGTAAGCTGTGTGTATTTTGTGTTACCCTTTTGAAAAAAAAAGCTATGTTTATGAAACAAACGAGAAGTGAATACTTATGAATTAAGCCTTCATTTCCATGTGAGTACACCATAGCAAAAACTGATAATTTTTTTGTTGTGGTTCCAAACTGGAATAGGATATATGCATATGGATGGCTCCAGCTCAAAGCCTGGTGGTAACTCAACGAGAGTTGGTTTGGTTAAAACTGCTGTTAACATGTATGGTAACAGGATTGCAGATGTTAATGGTCCTTTGCTGAGAGAGGAATTCTCCACGGTATGTCCTCATTAATTTTCATCTACCTGCAGTTTATGACATTCGTTCTACTAGAATTTTTTGTGCCTTTTTTTCTCAACAAGGTAATCTAAATCGAGATTTATTTATTTATTTATTTGAGACTAAATTTTTTGTGAGATACTATTTACCATCGTGAAAGAAAATCTATGTATTATCCTTTTAGAGCATTTGATGACAGCATTGTTTTATCAAATATTTATCAGAAGAACTCTTCAAAAGCAAAAGAACTCCACAGAGCAAGAAGGGATATTGTCCTGTACAAAGAGAGCAAACAGGCTGCAGAATCTGCGAAAGCTGAAGCAGAAACCAAGCTTTCTAATGCTAAAAGGACGGTGAAAGATCTTTTCTTCATGATCGGGGAATCGAGCTACAGGGCAAAAGCGCAAACGAGAGATATGGCATCACTAAAGAAGTATAGGAAGCCAAGCAAGAATGTTGGTGATAATGAGCATTCACGAGTGATGAGAGAATTGGAACANTATGGATGGCTCCAGCTCAAAGCCTGGTGGTAACTCAACGAGAGTTGGTTTGGTTAAAACTGCTGTTAACATGTATGGTAACAGGATTGCAGATGTTAATGGTCCTTTGCTGAGAGAGGAATTCTCCACGGTATGTCCTCATTAATTTTCATCTACCTGCAGTTTATGACATTCGTTCTACTAGAATTTTTTGTGCCTTTTTTTCTCAACAAGGTAATCTAAATCGAGATTTATTTATTTATTTATTTGAGACTAAATTTTTTGTGAGATACTATTTACCATCGTGAAAGAAAATCTATGTATTATCCTTTTAGAGCATTTGATGACAGCATTGTTTTATCAAATATTTATCAGAAGAACTCTTCAAAAGCAAAAGAACTCCACAGAGCAAGAAGGGATATTGTCCTGTACAAAGAGAGCAAACAGGCTGCAGAATCTGCGAAAGCTGAAGCAGAAACCAAGCTTTCTAATGCTAAAAGGACGGTGAAAGATCTTTTCTTCATGATCGGGGAATCTAGCTACAGGGCAAAAGCGCAAACGAGAGATATGGCATCACTAAAGAAGTATAGGAAGCCAAGCAAGAATGTTGGTGATAATGAGCATTCACGAGTGATGAGAGAATTGGAACATGCTAAACGGGAATTGTTTCAACTTAAGCTGGACGTGGCTTCTGTTCTGGAAGAGAAACTTCGAGCAGAGAAGGAAATCGAAACATCGAGATCCAACGTGCTGTCATGCTCAAGAGTTGCACGAAAACTGATGATGGAGATTGAAGCAGCCAACGAAGAACAGGTGGTTGTTGAATTGGCCCGGATGGACGCTTTGAAAGAATTGAGACACATGGAAGCTCTGGAAAATGCAAGGAACAAGTTGAAAGAGGCCATCAAGGAAATAGGCGAGTCAGAAGAGCTTGAAAGGAAATTGGCCACAGCAATGTATGAGATTGAAATCTTGAAGAATGAACTGAAGTTGGTGAATAAAAGGGTTGAAAGAGGTGAAACAGGAGACGTTGGTGTGTTGGAGACTATAAAAGAAGAAATAGAGGCTGCAAAGAAAGATTTAGCTTCGATTAGAGATCAAGGTTTTAAGTTTATGGCGTCCATGGATGTTATAAGAAATAAGCTGAAGCAAGTCAATGCAGAAGCGGTTCATTTGAAGAACACGGAATCAAAAAAAGGTACAAAAGTGAGAAACGTCAGTTACAAGCTTTTGAGAGCAAAGTCTAAGCTAGAAGCCATGACTGCTGCTGAGGAAAAGGCTGAGTCAGTAGCCATGAACTTGTCACAAACTCTTGATGAGCTCAGGTCCAAAACAGAAGCAGCAAAGAAGGAAAAAGAGGTTATAAAAGAAGAGGTTACGGCCACCAAAGAAGAGATAAAAAAGGCTTTGTTGGAGATAAACGAGGGAGAGGAAAGGTTGCAAGGTGCCATGCAAGAGCTGGAAAGAGTGAAATCATCAGAAGCTTTAGCCTTAGAGAAGCTGAAGATTCTGAGCGAGAACGCCATGAGAGAGAGAAGCTTAACAAATCCTAGTACCTTGATTATGATCTCAAAGTTTGAACACGATTATCTGAGCAACCATGCAGCTGAGGCAAAAGAAATTGCTGACAAGAAAGTTGAAGCGGTGAAGGCGTGGGTTGAAGCTGTGAAGGCCAATGAGAAAGAGATAGTGATGAAAACAAAGATAGCTGAGAGAAAACTGGAAGAGAAGATGGCTCCAAAGAGAGTTAACAATGAAGAGTTTGAGAATTGGTCAAAAAAGAGAGAAAAATATCCATCAAAGGAGTTGCAGCGTGCCATGTCAAGAAAGAGCAAGAAATCTGAAGGAAGCTCCACACCTTCTAGGGTTCATAAGTTACAGAAGGGAGCTTCACCAGGATCTCGTCCTCTCAGTCCTTTCATTGTAAAGAAGAAAAAGAAGGTCGTACCAAATTGGACCAAGATTTTTAGAGGGAAGAAAGAAAAGCATTAGCACACTTATATAACTGTATTTCGACAAACTGATGTAACTCTTTAAAAAACCAAACAACCTCGTGTATCAGTGAATCTAATTTTCTGTTAAAGTAGATCTTTCTCGTACCCAAAATTATAAATTATATATTAATTAATATTTAAATGACTATATTAATCAGAAATTTTAAGTTTGGCAATTTTCTTTTTCGTTAAATTGAGTTATTTGGATGAAAGGAGAAACAAATAGAAACGTTGCCAGATGTCAAATGGTGATTGGTGAACAGCGTTGGGTTGGGGTGCCCCGAAATCAAAACCAAAAAGGTGTAAAAAGTGATAAGATAAGGCAACGAGAGTGAGAAGCATTTTGCTCTGTTTCCCCAATTCCCACCATGGAATCGACGGCCACTGCTGCAATGACCTTCGCCGTTCCCTCCACCAAGGCCCAAGCCCGCTACCGAGTCCTGACACGGCCCACCAACCCATTCACCGTCCCCGCCGGCGGCGTGGCCCAACGCCCCCCCGCGCGCCACCTCTGTATCCGGGCGGCGATTCCCCGCACGAAGAAAGAGGAAACTGTGGAGACGGTGCGGGAACAGTTGGAAAACTGCTACCTTCTTGCGGGCATAAACTACAAGGGGTTCACCGTGAAGCAGTTCCAGGAGCTTCGGAAGACGTTCCCCGAGAGCACGAAGCTGATCGTGGCGAAGAACACGCTGGTTTACAAGGCCGTGGAGGGAACTCCCTGGGAGACGCTGAAACCCTGTATGAAGGGCATGAATGTGTGGCTCTTTGTTCACTCCGAGGAGATCCCCGCCGCCCTCAAGCCCTACAGGGACTTCCAGAGGGAGAAGAAGCTCGAGGATAACGACTTCACCGGCGCCGTTTTCGAGGGCAAGTTTTACGGGCCCGACGAATTTAAGAAGCTCGAGACTTTGCCCACGCGCGCCGAGATTTATGCCACTCTTTTGGGGGCTCTGAAGGCCCCTTCTTCCGCTCTCGTCTCCACCCTTCAGGCTCCTGCTAGAGAACTTCTAATGGTCCTCAAGGCTCATATCAAGAACCTTGAAGAGCAACAAGGTCTTCCGCAGTAGATATTCAACATTTGTATGCCTTTTGTTCCTATCCTTTTCTTGCTTTCTTTCTGTTGTTCCATTGTTTACTCCTCTGTAGATTATGTGTTGTTTTGCTGAAGGAAAAAGGAAATTGAGAATGCTGCATAGGGAATTGAAGCCCTTTTCTTTCAATCTTACCTTTTAACTATTTGCTATTAGTTGGAGTGCTGGGATTTGTTTGTTAGGATGCGTACATATCTGCATGGAAAAACCAGTTCAAATACAGAAACTCACTACTTACGTTCAAATGTTGAGTAAGATTCACATCATCTGGGCAACAGATTTCACTAGGATTTCTGCTCCTGCTTTCAATAAATGTTTACATGTCCAGCTGTTTATTTTCTACCACACTCTTACTGTCTTCTTCTTCCTCTTAACAATGAATGACAATTCAAAGCATTTTCCTGTTCCTAAACTTTCGGAGAATCCCAAGATAGCATTGATTGTCTCTTTGGTCTGAGGATTGGTATTAGCATTGTAAAAAATCTCATATTTTTTCATGTTGGTTTACAAATATGGGATATCCTTAACTCGGTTGCTTTCGATGCCATTTGCTCTGAAAAAGCATGAAACTGTCATCTGCAAACAATTAGTGGGTTATGCTGTGTAGATCCCCACAAGCTTAAACTTTCATAATAAGCGCAGAAAAAAAACCCTTCACAACCTAGGATAAAAAGATAAGGGGATTCTCCATTAATCTGTATAGAAAACCCTACAGAATGCATGTATATACCCATCCAATGTATCCACTTTTCACAAAACCCCAACTTCTGCATAATAGTTTTAATATATCTCCATTCCGCGCGGTCATAGGCTTTACTCATGTTAAGCTTCAGAGCTACTTCTCCAATATTTGCTTTTCTCTTGCACTTCATACGTTAACAACCTCTAAAGCAACCAAGGCATTGTCTGTGATGACTCTAAATTCCACAAAAGTAGCTTGCTCAGGGGCTATCCACTTTTCCAGATAGAGTTTAAGCCTGTTAGCCAGAATTTTGGAAACAACCTTGAAAAACATCGCAAAGAGAGTCTTTCATAAACGAGGGCTTCTCTCTCTTGGGTATGAATACAATGTTATTTTCATTCATCTAACTGGGTAGGGCACCTTCTCCTAAGAAACTTTTATAGCCATGTTTAGCCCATTCGGGCCAGAGTATCAGAATGCATTTTGAAAGAGAACTTTCTTAAACCCTTCACCTTAAAAGGCCTGGTTAAGCTAACATTATCTGCTGCATTGATTCTATTACTAACATTTCGCAGCACTCTTCACAATCACCACTACTACATACCTGAACAAGTCACCAAAATAATTCTTGCAATTTGGCACGTACCTGTTTGGGTATAAGAGATAACTCTAGTTTCGTCTTCCAGCTTGGCAAGTGTGTTGTACTTCTTCTTGGCTGAGGCATGTCTCTAGCTGTTTAAGAACATTAAGATCAATGAAGTTATCCAATCAATGTGGGGAAACAAGCATCAATTATAAATTAGTTCACCAGAGAACAATCCTTATAACATAAATGAATAATGATAGAGATACATTTTTATTTTATATACATCTATTGCATGTTTGTTTCTCAATGCATTTTTTTTATATCACATCATATAATCTATTATTTTTATTCTCCTTCTAAGTGTTCATGAACAGGTTTTATGAACATCAACTCATTTCTCAATAAATTAGTCTCGCATCTTAATGAGAACAATTTTCCATTCATTATTATAAATAGTAAAAAAAATTGTAAGTTCACAAAAAATGAGGTAAAACTAATTTAAAAGTATAAATATTGAGAATTAGACGTTAAATTTAATTAAACTTCTTAAAATGTGAGATCTTTTGTTTTTTTTTTTCGTAACAAAAAGTAAAAGCACCATATTCAAGAATTCAATTTACATGAGCATATACGTCTAGAAACTACAGTATACTAATGTGGAGAGTGCATTAACATGATGATAATAAAGAAGTAGAAGCACACTTGATCTTTCATTTTTATAACGCTTCTCTCTCTCTCGAAAACCATCACAAGTGGTCTGAAAAATAACAACAAAATCTCCTTTTAAGTACTGGTTGACTTCTGTGTGTTGCAAAGAGAAAATTATAATAAGTTAATGAAATTCATAGTAAAATAACATTTTTAAATTCATAATAATAAATAATTTATTTCTCCTTGTTGGAGCCAACCGGTGAATCAATTCAGTTCCGAAGTGAAATTGTGGAAACCAAAACAAGTTCACAAATTATACATAACATTGTTTTAAACAACATTACATACATTTTATTTATTTATTTATGCTCATTAACTTGCAAACTTTAAGATATTAAAATTTCTGTAATTATATTCAATGTACGGCTATTCAAAGTGACATGCCAAAGAAAAGTCATATACAACTACCAAAACATACAAGCACCACTATAGGGGGAAAAAAAACACATGATGGAACATTAAAAGCATCATGGAACATTCAAAGTCATCATGGAACATTCAAAATTGTGTCTTCCAGATAATACAAATCAATGTGGCTGTGATATTTCTGTGTGCTGCGGCTTGAGGCTATCCACATGCAACTGAGCAAGAGCTTCAGATAACAACTCTGGGGTGGCTTTTCTCACGGTTTGGTGTTTAGAAGGCAATGCCGGAGGTGGGGGCTGAGATTTGTATATCTGATCACGAGTAAGGTTGTTGTCAAGTTCATTTCCACTCTCGGCTGATTCCACGGAAGTAATAGATATGTTCTGAGATTGAGATTGAATATGATGCATTGGACTAACATCAATCTGCGGTGCCTGATTTTCGTTGTAAGGGACGTGAACGAGTGCTGCAGTTTCTGTGTGTGTTAAATAGTTCTGAGAGTCAGAGGTAGAGTTACGTGGTATACGGGAACCTATGGATGAAAGATTTAGATTCATTGATGCTTGGGTAGAGGCAGTCATAGGCAAAGTAACAGGTACGAGGTATACAGGGAAAATAGGATTGGTTTGATAAACCAGATGCGTCGAAGGACGAGATTGCTGATAAATACAGTGGCCAGTCGGTAATGAGTTCAGGGGAGCATGAAGGGGTAAATTGCGTGTAGCAGATTGCACCACTGAATTAAACCGTGGAAATGAAGAATACCGTGCATTCAAATTTGCATTATTGGAAACAAAGAGGTTCTGACTTTCAACTTGAACAGTCTGAGCACTGAGAGTGGCCTCCGAAACATGAAGCACAGAGTCCTGATAACACGTATTCTGCCGCTGCGAAATGATGCTGGAAACAGTACTATCACTGAACAAAACACAACCAGAGTTTATTATTAAAATCTTGAGAAAGAAACAAAAAAAAAGTGACTTGGTGAAGAAGTTAGGGGATAAGGTAGCGGAATACCTTGGAAGAGATGAGGGGAGGGATGGAGGAAGAAGAGAGGAAGCGAAAGAGGAGGTGGTGTCGAGAGGGAAGGAGTGGTGCATGATGGAGGAGCTCTTGAGGGAGTCCAAGAACCATGACTCGGTTTTGGGGTGGCGGAAAGCAGGGAAGACGAAGAGTCTGATGCGGGAAGAGGAGTTGTGGTACTCGTCGACGAGGATGTGGAGGTCTTCGTTGGAGGCGAGGGAGATGAGAGAATCAAGGTGAAGGTGGGGGAGCTGGTACTTGAGAGTGAAGGGGTATTTCAGAGAGAGGAGGGTGGAGAGATGGGTGCGGAAGGAGGAGAGCGTGGCGAGGGTGCGGTGCTGGATGGAGAGGATACGGGTTTCGCCGCCGGCGTAGAAGAGGGAGCTGGTGCCGGGACGGGGGAGTATGTGGCCGCCGTAGCTGCACATGAGACGGAGCTTGGCGGTGGATGCTTCTTCTGACTCCATCCGGTTGAGTCGGTTGCTTCCCAATTGAATTGAATAAGAGAAAGCTTTGATTCTATTTTTGAGAATAGATATTCAGTAAATTTATTTACCTACCGACTTGAACAGTGAGGTGAAAGTGAAAAGTAACGAGAAATTGGAGGTTACGTGAAGTATTCGTTTGGATGACATAAGGTTCGAAAGCTTCTAGATCTTCCGCTGCTATTTATT